AGCCCCATCCAGCCTGGCCTTGAACCCCTCCAGGGATGGGGCAGCCACAGCTTCTCTGGGCAACCTGTTCCAGTGTCTCACCACCCTCACAGCAAAGAATTTCTTCCTGAGATCTCATCTAAATCTCCCCTCTTCCAGTTTAAAACCGTTGCCCCTCATCCTATCGCTACACTCCCTGACAAAGAGTCCCTCCCCAGCTCTCCTGTAGCTCCCTTCAGGTATGGAAAGGCCGTTATAAGGTCTCCCCGGAGCCTTCTCTTCTCCAGGCTGAACAACCCCAGCTCTCTCAGCCTGTCTCCATAGGAGAGGTGCTCCATCCCTCTGAGCATCTTTGTGGCCCTCTGCTGGATCCATTCCAACAGGTCCATGTCCTTCCTGTGCTGAGGACTCCAAAGCTGGACACAGAGCTCCAGGTGGGGTCTCACGAGCGCAGAGTAGAGGGGTAGAATCACCTCCCGTGACCTGCTGGCCACGCTTCTCTTGATGCAGCCCAGGATGGGGTTGGCTTTCTGGGCCTCCAGTGTGTGCTGCCAGCTCATGTTGAGCTTCTTATCCACCAACACCCCCAAGTCCTTCTCCTCAGGGCTGCTCTCCAGCCATTCTCCACCCAACCTGTATTTGTGCCTGGGATTGCCATGTCCCAGGTGCAGGACCCTGCACTTGGCTTGGTTGAACCTCATGCGGTTTGCACAAGCCCACCTCTCAAGCCTGTCCATGTCCCTCTGCATCCCTTTCCTCCAGCGTGTTGACCACTCCACACAGCTTGGTGTCTAGTGGCTGTCCTGCTTTGGGGAGGCTAAGTTGTTATCTTCTAATCATGCTGTGCCATGCCATCTAGCCATCCTAGCCCAGGTGGAGCAGGGGAGGTTAAATACGGTGGCACTTTGGGATTTCTAGACAAGTCCAGAGAAAGATGGCTTCCAGCTGCCTTATGGAATTGTTGTCCTGATGTTGGCCAAAGTGCCACAAAGGAAGAACAATGAATGCTTAGTTCATATTAGTTCCTAGTGTTTAATATGTGTGCATATATAACATTCTAAAATAGCTGGGTAGTCACATAGCATCTACCAAATGCACGTGCATCAGCCACGTTGCCTGGACTCTCTGCAGCTGCGGGACATGGACTTCTGTCTGGGCTAAATCCAGAAGAGCTATTTCTGTCCAGTGTAGGTTGAAGGATCCCTCTCATTTTACCCTTGCTGCTGTTTCTACCTATTGAGTTGGAAGATCTCATACGTGAAAAAGGCACACACAGACTGCTGTGCTTGTTGATTGGTATTTTTTCTTTCCCCCAACTGCAACCTGCTGCATCTAAGTCATATGGGTCTTGTATAAAGACAAATATGTTCCGTTCTTCCAGTTAGGCTCATGTCAAAAATTCTGGCCTGAAACACCATCTTGGGACTTCCTTCTTTCCTGCACGTTCATGTGCTTACTCCTCCGTACCAGGAGCAAAAGTAAGATAATTAAAAAGACCTTTCTTATGATGAGTCATCCATTTGTTGGTGTATTCCTCACTGTCACATCACTCAGCACTCTGCTGACCTGTTCAAGAAAATAATCTGAAAGGCCAAGAAGCTTCTGTCAACCAACTGGTTTCTTACTGAGTTCCCTCTGGATATTCGGGCCGTTTCTTAATATTTCATGCAGAACAAGCTGGGAATGAGACTTAACTGATGAAAGGAATTAGATGTGTTTAAATAATGCATCTAGGACTGGCTGTGAAAGAAATTTCATTATTGAGATGTTAAGATGATAAAAACTAGGGAAAGTGCTTGGTCCTTCAGAGTGTTTTAAATAAACGTCAACCAAAAATGGCTTCTTAAAAGCTTACCCTATGGGTCTCTGTTTAATCAAATCAGAGAGCATCTTAGTGTAATCTGCCAGAGGTCATTTATGCCATCTTTCTCCTCTGAGACAAATCACCTCTATATCTTGCTTCACAACTATTTGTTTGACCTGCCATTGAAAACTGCTACTGACAGGGTTTCTACAGCTTCTCCAAATGGGAGCAATCTGATTAATTTGTGTACTATCCAGTGCAGGGGCAGGAAGCAACCTATTGCTGCCTTTGCTTATTTATTTATTATTTTATTTTAGGTAAACCTTTCTCCATTTTTAAGGTTTATCATTCTTTATGTCTGGGAATTAAAATTCCCCTGTGCTTCTAGTCTGTCTTTTTTTTCTCTTCTCAATGATTGCGTTTTCTGAAACCTCTTGTTTTGATTCCTCTTTTCTGGCTTCTTTTTAAGTTGTCTAGCTTCTCTTAAATTGTGTTAGAACAAACTATAGAAGCTCTTTCCTCACTGAGATCTCAGTACATTGTGCACCTATTAACAAACCTAGTCATGAAAAGGAGAAACATTCCTGGAAATTTGTTTTTCTTGGTGAACACGGTAGAATTCATCGATGTTCCGTACAGGTAAGGCTTTGCTCTCTTTCTCCTTGGGACTTCCTGACGATGTGAATTCAAGAATGTGTTTTTGAGAGCTGGTAGTTGTATGCAAATATATGCAAATTAGCACCACTCTGGGGTTTTTTTTTTTCAGTGAAAATGCTAACGGAGGCAGTGACTGCTGTGGAAGCAAGGGCTTTCCTTGTGATGAGACTTGATTTTTTTCACAGCATGGAGGAAGGGTATGGCAACCTGTAGTGCAAAAACCCAACAGTTTCTGCAGTACCCCCTGGAAACTGCTGTAAAATCTGAACTTCAGTTCCAGAGGAGCTCCTGAGGAGCCCACTTCCCCAGCTCCCACCTCTCACTAATGTAGGACATGAAGGAATTACTCTGATAAAAAAATTGGATACACAACTCATTGTTGGACTCAAGGGTCTTATGACTGACACCAACTGCCTGGAGGATGCATGCAGAAGAATTGAAGCGCTATAAAGGGTTTAATGGAGAAGACAGTGAGAAAAATGATGTATCATAGAATGGTTTGTGTTGGAAGGGACCTTGAAGATCATCTAGTTCCAACCCCCCTGCCATGGGCCGGAAAGAGTAACTTTCCACTAGACCGGGTTACTCAAAGCTCCATCCATGTTGGCCATGAACCTGACCATCTTCACCTTGAACACGTACACCTTCACAGGTGTAAGATGTGCAGCAAAGGTGTCTCCCTGGTGCTGGGAGGAGAAGTCATGAACATGAAACAAGAAGTCTCCGTGCCGCAGCCTGTCCTCTTCCAGTGCTGGGCCCTTGTCCTCTGTGGCGGTGGTTGTCTGCAGAGCTCAGAGCAACCAGAGGCTGCTTGATCCTCTTGTAGGTCAGCATTTGCTCAGGACGTGCTCTTGGTAGGAAGAGGAAGAGGCAGGAGCTGGTGCCCGAGCGTGCCCCTCGCCTTTCCCTACCTTGTGTGCTCCTCCTCCAGCGTGCTGCAGAAAAACAATGAAACCAACACATGCAAACGGGGATGTCCTGGTTTGATGGTTGAACTTCGAAACCAGAGGGCAAAATTTGATTTTGGTAGAGCTCAAAACTTTTTCTTTTTTTTTTTTTTTTTGAAAAGAAACAACAAACCCAACAAAACAAGAAATTTGAAGGTCTTTTCCTGAAAAAATTCCAAATTCTACTTGTCTCTGAGAATCCTGGTTTCATTTTCGCCTTTTAAACATTAAAAATATTGTTTCTATACTTGATGCTAAAAGCTGGACAAATTTGAAATATCTTGAAATATTTTGACACCAATTTTTGGCTCAATTTCTATGTATTGAGAAGGTTTCTCCTGACTGTAATTTTTGGAGCAGTGCATAACTGTCTGAATGTATTTTCATCTTTATCTACTGTGCCTTCCTTCTACTCCTAGGTCCTTACTACACAGCATTTAGGCCTCTTCATTGTCTGGAAGTTTCTCTCTACTTTGTTTTTTCTTGGGGTCTCAACTCTCTGCTTTCCAACGTAAATTTGCTCAGTCACTTTCTCTTTTTTTATATTATCACCCTGCCCACCAGAACAAGACTGAGCAGAACTGAGATATTCATATCTCGTTAGCCACTTAAAATTTTTTCCTCTATGTTTTCTTGGTAAATTCTCTCTGCTGCAGGTATCCAGCAGTGTAATATTAAAAAAGCCAGTCGCCCATAGTTTGCAGGGTGTGTAATGCTCGTAATACCCCAGAGTGGTAACGATCTGGAGCCTGATACTGGTAACGAGGCAGAACAGAGTTCAAAAAAGTCTTTCCTGTAGGTAATAACAGCCTCTCCCACAGCCTTTCAGTTTGTTGGAAATTCCAAGTCTGCGTCTTTGTTTTTGCAAAAAGGTTTATTTTGAAATTTCCCCGCGGTTTGGTGCAAAACCACCCCGTTGTGCTGACAGCTGTGGTACAGTAGAGAATGTCTGTAGCTTGGTCTAGTATTTATACAACACTTTCCTATTTTATGACAGCTTGTGCTTTTTTTTTTTTTTTTTTTATTGAAAAAGTAAAATACCTGCAGACTTGCAAATTAAAAAAGACTGAGTTTGAAGCCTGTCGATCCTGAATGCCATTTAAAATCTTGCCTGTCTTTCTGTGCACAGGTGCAACCTTCCTCCTCTATCCAGCGAATACAGCAGGGACGTTGGATCGAAAACCCAGCTGGTGACTGCAAATCCCAGTATCATTCAGAAAAGGTAGAGACCGTATTGTTCCTTCTCTGCTTGGTGGAAGCAAGAAGAAAAACACTTCGTCTGTGTTATAGATATTAGTGCATGGGAGTTACGTTCTTAAAGATCTTCTGATCCCAGAAGAGGATCTGGAAAAAATGAAATAGGCAATGGTTTGGTGTTAGGTGAAATAATTCAAGGCTAAACCCACTGTAAGCAGGGAAACTAAGGGACTCTGGCTTTTCCAGAGTTATCTCTTGTACCATACTCCCCTCAGGGCTTCCAGCTCCCTCCCTTTACCACAGGCTGGGCACATGCCAGAGGTGCTTTGTAAAACACCTGCAGACTTGCAAATTAAAAAAGACTGAGTTTGAAGCCTGTCGATCCTGAATGCCATTTAAAATCTTGCCTGTCTTTCTGTGCACAGGTGCAACCTTCCTCCTCTATCCAGCGAATACAGCAGGGACGTTGGATCGAAAACCCAGCTGGTGACTGCAAATCCCAGTATCATTCAGAAAAGGTAGAGACCGTATTGTTCCTTCTCTGCTTGGTGGAAGCAAGAAGAAAAACACTTCGTCTGTGTTATAGATATTAGTGCATGGGAGTTACGTTCTTAAAGATCTTCTGATCCCAGAAGAGGATCTGGAAAAAATGAAATAGGCAATGGTTTGGTGTTAGGTGAAATAATTCAAGGCTAAACCCACTGTAAGCAGGGAAACTAAGGGACTCTGGCTTTTCCAGAGTTATCTCTTGTACCATACTCCCCTCAGGGCTTCCAGCTCCCTCCCTTTACCACAGGCTGGGCACATGCCAGAGGTGCTTTGGTGCTCCTGATCCAGGCATTTACTGATGCGTGGCCCAAACTACTCCGGTGGCCAGGCCAGCTGGCTCCTGCACCCCAGGATTAATGAAGATGCTAATTTGGGTTTCTCTTCGCTTCACCGCTGATAACCTCTGGGTCCTTACTGTCTGCCTCTCATTTGTTTGATACTGACTTGCAGGTACAGGAGTGGTTGGGATGGAAGCGATTTGCAGGTTGTGATCGTCCAGGCTTTGCTTTCTTAGGAAACTGAGACAAATTTTTGTTGTTTATGAGAGTTGGTTGAAATTTTCCAAATGTCAGTAGCTGATGAGAGAGGGGAAGAGGGAAGGGAAAAAAGAAGTCAATGCTATCTCCCTGATTTTGTCTTGCTGAATTTTAATTGCTATGATGTTATTTGTTTGTCACCCAGAATGAGGTAGGCTGCTCTCAGGCAGAACAGGGGCTGGGAGTAACTTGCCATGCGCACTGAAATACACAGAGAAAAGGCATAAACCAAGGGAATGAACTGGAAATGATTAGGCATAAAGAAATGTATAATGCGGGTACTGGGAGGTGAAGGATTGTGACAGGAACAAAGCAGGGAAATAAAATGAGTAACAGAAAGCCAGGTGTCTTAGAAAGAAGAAGAGCACAGGCTTGGAAATGGATGTTTGATGGTATTTAAATATGATATTTTTCCTCTCTATCAGGAATTGAAGGGTTCTCTAGTTTAGTGTGTGGAAACGATGACAGTCTTTGACAGAGTAGAAAAGAGAGGGTGAGCAGGAGGGAAATGGAGCAGCAATCAGCTTCAAGAGCTGATCCCAAGCAGAGGGTGTCTGAACAGGCGAAGGCACAGACGTGCTTGTGGGGTGAGAGCAAAGCAAACCAAGCAGAATGGGCAGAGGATGGCACCAGGTGCCAGGCGGGAAGAGGGAGCTGCTCAAGGCAGTGGACCTGAAGATGGGGAATCTGAAAATCTGCTGGGACATGGCTGGCTAATGAGGTTGATTTAGCAAGATCAGTTTGGCTGTGGCATTTTGGATAAAATGAGGAGGAGCAATGTGAAATGTGAAGCTCACAAAGGATTTTACAGCTGTCGAGGCAGAGAATTATTAAACTCATGGATATTTGTTATGCGTCCTCCCCTCCATCAAGGCCTAGAGTGGAAATCTTGCTGTACTTACTATATTTGAACAGAAGAGAAATGGGAAAAAGTTTTAGTGATGCTACAGGGAGACTATGAATCTACACTAAAGAGAGTGTGGAGTTCTCATCTAGCAAGAACGAAGGGGTGAGCAGATGGTTGAAGATGCAGATGGAGAGCGTGAGGTGCTACTTTGTGAGAGGGGGATATCACACGGAGGGAGTGGAGGGGGAGGGAAATGGGAAAAGAGAAAGGGAAGAAGGAGTAGATGGGAGTATAAGGGAGTAGATGGGCCACAGGAAATGGGACTGTGCTGGATATCAGTCTTCTTAGTGAGTGGATGATAACAGCAATGCGAGGCCTTTGATGAGAAAGTGATGTGGGATGTATATCCATGTGTATTGATTAGGAGGAGTTATACAACCAGTAACTGAGAATGGCACAGAGCACAAATTTATAGTGCTGAAAATTGGCCGAAACCTCCTGTGAGGCTTGGAGCTCTTGAGGGATCTCACACTTTGCTATCTCTGTCTGGTTAGGAACAAATTTATTTTTTTTTAAATAATGATCTTACTGTGTGCTATTCAAACTCATTATTTTACCTCCTGGGTGTTAAGTTAGAATTGGAAAAAAAGAAAGCTTGGAAGTTAAAATAGAAAAAAAGACTACTACTTTGTCAACAAATAATCCATTTCTATGGAAAGAAGCTTTTAAAGGAATTAAGACTGCTTGTAAGTCCACACTTTTAGGAAATTCAAGGGCATTCCGATTGGTGACTGATACGTATCTGTTTCTAAGCTATAAGTTAACTAGCTTCACATAATGGTATTATTCATTATCATTCTTCCCCTTTCCTCTTGTCCTTACGTTAAGTAGGTTGATATTGATGAGGCTTGACATCTCAATTATCTCTCAAGTGTGTTATGGCAAATTTAGTGAATTGGTCCTGCAACACCATTCATGGCTTCTAAAAGATTTATCCTTACCAGATAATTTATGATTAGGCGTGTTTGATAGGGCAAAGTTTTTATACCAGGGATGCAATTGTAGAAGCAATTTTCTGTGTAGTTTTAGAACCAGAATGATTGCCTTTCGAAAACGGATTTGTTGGCAGTAATTATTGCAGGTTGATATCTGAGCTGCCATCATTTTCCTCTAGACTTAAAGTCTTAGGATGGGAGAGTCAGGATTTTAATTTGGGAGTACACTGACTTTAGAGATGTTTTCTCAGCATCGTCTTCTACAAAACTTTTGAGTAGGCAAATAATAATGAAAGAATTAGAGATCAAGTCCCTACTGTGTTTTCAGCAGGAAACACGACCATGCAAGCAGCACCAGTTTTCACTTGTAAAATACTGTGCTCAGTTCTCATTTGGGTTTGAGAAATAATGAGGAATTTCCTACCCTAACTTTGCTTCATATAATACAGGAGTACTGACAATGGAGGCATTATAATAGTTGGCGTCCAGTCACGAGTGGTGTCCCCCAGGGCTTGGTACTGGGACCTGTTCTCTTTAACATCTTTATCAATGATCTGGACAAGGGGATCGAGTGCACTCTCAGTCAGTTCACTCCCACCCAACTTAGTGTCGTCTGTGTCGACCTGCTGGAGGGTAGAAAGCCTCTACAGAGAGACCTGGGCAGGTTGGATCGATGGACTGAGACCAACGGGATGAGGTTCAACAAGGCCAAGTGCCGGGTCCTGCACTTGGGTCACAACAACCCCAGGAGCTGCCTGGCAGAAAAGGACCTGGGGATGTTGGCCAACTGTCAGCTGAACATGAGCCAGCAGTGTGCCCAGGTGGCCAAGAAGGCCATGGCATCCTGGCCTGTATCAGGAACAGTGTGGTGAGTAGGACTCGGGAGGTGATCATCCCCCTGTACTGGGCACTGGTGAGGCCCCACCTCGAGGGCTGTGTCCAGTTCTGGGCTCCCTACCATAAAAAAGACATCACTGGAGCGGGTCCAGAGAAGAGCAACAAAGATGGTGAGGGGTCTGGAGAACAAGTCTTATGAGGAGAGGCTGAGGGAGCTGGGGTTATTCAGCCTGGAGAAAAGGAGGCTGAGGGGAGACCTTATTGCTCTCTCCAACTCCCTGAAAGGAGGGTGTAGAGAGGTGGGGGTCGGTCTCTTCTCTCAAGTAACAGGCGACAGGACGAGAGGAAATGGCCTCAAGTTACGCCAGGGGAGGTTCAGGCTGGATATTAGGAAAAATTTTTTCACTGAAAGGGTCATCAGCCATTGGAATGGGCTGCCCAGGGAGGTGGTTGAGGCCCCATCCTTGGAGGTGTTCAAAAGACGGGTTGATGTAGTGCTGGGAGATATGCTTTAGTGATGGTGTTGCTTTCTGTTTGTCGTGTGGGTGTTTATTTTTGTCAAAATTAGGTTGATGGTTGGACAAGATGATCTTTGAGGCCCTTCCAACCTAGAAGATTCTGTGATTCTGTGAAATCTGCCCAGCTGATGAAGAGGACTTGCCCCAGTTTCTTTTTTTTGGTCTAAAATATTTCATGGGCATCTCCAATTAATATTGGAATGTACGGTCCTCTGATCCTGTGTAAAAATCCTTCTTTCATTTCGCATTCAGACCTTACTTCTCTGCCAAACCCTGATTTGAGGTTGCAATAGGGATTGAAATGTTTCATAAAGCTACTCCTGGGGCTACTGTGACCTCTCCCACCCTGTCCCCCATATGGTTGAGGGACTGCAAAAAGGTTGGTATCTTTGTTGTTTGCAGTTCATTCCCCTACCACCATAGTCAGCTTGGCCTTATCTGTAGGGACACGCTTTGCGGGCAGAAGATAATCCTCTATTTGTCCTGGTTTTTAATTTTAATTCCATGAGTAGCTGCTGTAAGTCACTGCTGGGAAAGAGGCAATGCAGCCGCGAGACCTGTGATGTGCCTATTGGTGTTCTTGGGCTCAGTGAAAAAAATCCAGAAGGTTGATATTCTGAATGCTTGCCTACAGCTGTGGAGAGGGACTAGTCAGTGGATCACATGTGAACGCAGAAATGCTTAAATAGGTAGTGGTGATTCTTGATAAACGGCAGCAGATTTTGAGTAGGAAATACAAAGAATTGCTATTTGGGATGTGGATATTCTGTTTCTGAAGTCACTGACTCTGGGCTATTTAAGAGAAGCAAATTGTAGCAACGTCTTTCCATCTTCAACAACTCTTGCAAATGTCATATAATAATGCTCATACCTTTTGTCTAAACTTTTAATTAAATTTGCAAACAAATGCTGTTTGCAGCAGTCTTCCTTTCTGGTCACCATGGCTGCTTACTCTGTCTAACCCACGCACACATAGATCATCATTACTGTGGATCTAACAGTCCAAGCAGATGGTTTCCCAGCATTCATTGAGTGTCTGATATTTGTTGGTCACCAACATTTTTCGTCCACGAGCAGCGTGAGCACTTCTGACCTGTGTAGAAATAACATCATTAGAAAACGGTGTGACGACTATGGTAGGGTTCTTTATTTGCCCTGATTCAGCATTGGTATAGCTGACAGGAGCCTCCAAGGTGTGTTATAAACACCTCCCAAGAGTGTCGTTGGGACATAATC